AAACAAACAAATTCTTTATAATTTATAATTATAATAAATTATTTAATTATAATAAATTTATAATTATAATTGTAAATGTGTAATAAGAGAACCCACTAGAATACAGGGAAAATCTTCTTCGTGTATTGATAATTAATTTTGTAGTAAATTTTAATGATTTCCATGGTGAAGTATTGCATGATAGATTATCAGATCACAATGCTATCAAAATGGTTGTTTGGATAAACAGTTGTAATAAAACAAATACGATTAGTGGAGGATTTCCAATGATTGAAATTTGAAAATTAGTGGACTTACATAGTTATTTTCCATAGGTTTCGGTCGTACTCCTTTTTTCTTGAATTCTTATTATTGTATAAAAATATAGTTCACACACTCAACACTATTTTGAGCACAGTTTATTTTTGGTGAGATATTAACACAGCGGTTTATTTTTCGAGAGGAGCGTATTTTATCACGTATTTTCGCGTTGACACCATGACAGAGAGAGATCTTCTTTTTTTTTATATATTGGGCGGGTGGAATTTTAAAAGAGGTTTTATTATCTACCGTTTAAGTCATTTGTATAGTTTTTATATTGTATGTTGTGATGCGTGTAATGTAATAGTAAGAATATATATATTTATAATAAACGGCGCAGACAACTCCCCCGGCCCAGAGGTTTCCTCTAAACATGCGATAAAAATAAATCGCATCAACTACACCTAAAGGCCAACAGAGGGGATGAGAATTATTATCTTTAACTACGACAATAGTACCTAACTTAACAGGTTTTGACGGAGAGTTCCATTTTTCTCTCTGTTGGAGAGAAGTTAAATATTCTTGACTCCAGCGAAGCCAAAAAGAATGCGTGACTTTATTTAAGAGTTGATAACGAGATAAGCGATTATCTGAGATGTCAATAACATCTTCAGCAGGTAAGAATTTAAGCGGAGTTACATTTAAAAAATGATTAGGAGTTAAAGCAGAAATATCAGAGGGATCAGAACTTAAGACACAGAGTGGTCGACTATTTAATATACCTTCAATTTGAACGAGAATAGTATTAATTTCTTCATATGTGAGAATTTGTGAACCAATTGACTTGAAAATATGCGTTTTGACACAACGAACATTAACTTCACTGAGTCCATTGAAATGAGGACCATAAGGCGGACTATGCCTAAATTGAATGCGATGGTCAGACAGTAATTGCTGACTAATATAATTAATATGTAATTTGGATTGTATTAAAGAATAAATTTCATTTAATTTGCGTTTAGCACCAATAAAATTGGTACCTCCATCACTGTAGATCATAGAAACAGGGCCTCTACGTGATATGAAGCGTTTAAAAGCGGCAAGAAATAAGTCAGAACTTAAGTCAGTAACTAACTCTAAGTGTATAGCTTTTGTTGTGAGACAGACAAATAAACAAATATATGCTTTTTGGCTTTTTATACCACGCCTACGAATATGTGTTATAAAGAAGGGACCAGCGTATCAACGGCGGTATATACGAAAGGTTTTACTTCAGATACTCTGAAGGTGGGAAGATCACCCATTGGAGGAAAAGTATTTTTAGGGTAAACTCTAAAACAAATATTGCATTTATGTACCCGTTGTCGTACTAAATTTCTGGCGGACAGAATCCAAATTTTTTGTCTGATGAGCGACAGTAAAAGAGCGGGACCTGTATGAAGATTGATGATGTGATAATAATCTACTAAAAGTTCAACCACGCGTTCTTTAGATGGAAGTAAAATGGGGTGTTTTTGACCATAATTAAGTTGAGAGTGAGCTAACCTTCCACCAACACGAAGGATACCATTTGTATCGACAAAGGCATTTAGTTTAATTATATTTTTACCGACTGTTTTATTTAATTTTAAAGCGGAAATATTTTCAGAAAAATGTTTGTTTTGCACATATTTTATAATATATAATTCAGCGATTTCTAAATCAGAGACAGAAATAGAGCCATAAGTATTCAAATGTTTTACAAAACGTAGAACATAACGTATGCGAAGTAATTTGGAATACTTAGAAATGCGATTTATTAAAGCCTGAATGGAATCCGTTGTAACATTTTGGATAACTTGAGCTGTCATAGAAAGATTTTTAATTTCCATGAGATCAGAATTATTAAAATTAATTTCGAATGGCTTAATCAGCCATTTAGTAGCGGGATACGTAAATCAAACCGGGGCGTTAAACCATAACTTAAGGTTAGATAATATATTAGGCGTTACAGGACGAGAAACTATATCAGCGGGGTTTTCACGTCCGTTGATATGAAACTTAGCGGGTAATTTAGAATTAATTTCAGTTATGCGATTTGCGATAAAATTTTGCAAAAAATTAAAACCGCTTACTGACAGTCAAACTATGATAACGATTTATTACGCGTATGTGCATTCTCTAATTAGTTATAGCATAACAGTATGGGGAAACAGCGTAAATGCTAAGAGAGTACTCATAGCACAAAAAAGAGCAATAAGAATTTTAGCTGGAATTAAAAGAAGGGAATCAGCAAGGAAGCATTTTGTGAAATATAAAATCATGACTGTAATATCATTGTACATATATAAATGCTTATTAGAAATTCATGATAATAGGGAAAGCTATGTCAAAAGCATGGATATACACAAATATAACCTTAGAAACAAACACAAATTGATATTACCTTAGGTGCGACTCACCAAAGCACAAAAACAAGGAAAATACAATAAATTACTTATGTACAATAGACTACCAATTTCAATAATGAATTTAGAGATTAATAAGTTTAAAAGAAAAATTAAAATGTTCTTTGAAAAAAATGCCTTTTATACACTTACAGAATTTATTAATATGCCATTGACTGAATCCTCATTTTCGTAGATTTTAAATGATAGTAAAGTTGAAAATAATATCCGATTGAATTAATAATTTAATGCCAATTTATTTTAATCATGTTTTTTTAAATATTTTTATTGAAATTCTACACATACTTATATTTGAAATAATTTATTTTATATTTATTAATAATCATGACATTATAACAGTTTATATCATATTCTTAAATGACAATGAATGTATATTAATGACTTACCTAGTGAAACATTCTCTGTTACAAGGCCAATAAAGAATTTGATTTGATTGATTTGATTTGATAGATTAAATAAGGGTTTAATACAGTGTTGTACTTATCAATTAAACATAAACGCAGCCTATTAGTTTATTCGCAGCCTACCTCACAATCCTGTTTAATTTTCACCTTTCAGAGCACGTTATGACATTCAATCAATTGACAAAGTATGAGCTCAACGCAAAATAAAATTATCCTTTATGTAAAAATATTTAATAAAATATTTAAACAATGTATTTTGTGCTCATAGGTCTGACTCAAAGGTTGTGCCGGCACGACAGCTGGCTTAAATGTAAGATGAAACAAGCTCTAAGCGTAAGTAACGTAGTATGCGATCACCACCACCACCACCACGACAAAAAGAACGCTTGGAAATGATTTATTATGAGGCAAAATGCAATAAAAGCATTTTGTCAGTCAATAAAAAATAAATTAAATGAAACAAATTTCAAATTTTAAGCTTTCGTGACATTTCGAACCCTTTATAGGTTCTGTGTTCACTTAAGACTGTAAAGGATAAACGTATATTTTAAAAATATTAGGGGTGTGAGGAGACCGTTTTTCGATTTCGTTAATTGGTCGTGACGTATCTAAGCTTCAAAGTGTCAATTTTCGTTAGAGTCCAATGTCCCCCCCCCCCCTACCAATTTAACGATTGTTGTTAAAAACTAAAAGAGACGCTCGTAGTGTTTATAATATATTTAATAGGAATACTAGCAGACTTAAGTTGGCTTTACAAATTTACGAGTAATAGTCGATCAAATGTATTTAACTCGAAAATTTCGAGCAACTCTTTTGAAAACAGCGTACTAACACTGAACAGACCTGATTTTTGCGCTGCTTTTTATGGATAATGGTTTATCCATAAAAACGCAAAAAACATTTTGATCAAAAATAGCAACTAAAATTTAAAGTAATAAGAGTTTCATAATAACTTGGGTAAAAAAAAATCTGACTAGCCGAAATCATATACGCAGGATATCTACTAATTGAAGAGATGGTAGAATATCCGTTGGCAAAATTTCACGCACATCACGCACTAAAATCTCTTAAAATGCTGTATTGAGAAAGCAAGAACATGCTAACCTTCAAGTTGCTATGAGTATCACGCGTAGAATAAGACTTCAATAAAGGGACAATTATTTCAAATAAAACATTTGTTTGTATTTATTGCAAGGCGTGTCGATTCTACTGAGCACTTAAAATGGTCACAAGAGCCGTTGCTCTTAATAGTCCAGTTGGACTATTCTATGAGGACATACGCGTTATAATACAGAAATACCGGTAGATTTTCCATGATTGCTTCCATCTATTAGACAGGCCTATGCCCGGTAGAGGACGTTGATAGATGTTGATATAAAGGTAGATGCTTTCTGGCAATTTTTTAATTAAGATTAGCTTAAGACCAGTATAGGAGGTCAGTGTCGCGGGTTACAGCTAGTGAGTAAATTGGAATTTGTGTTATCAACATCTTCGCGTGGGCTATATATTTTATAATAAAGTGATATATTAAAATACTTTTATGAGAGTAAATACAAACACAATACAAAGGATTAGGCAGATGTAGATAATTTGTATCAATATCATATATGGGAAAGATTTCATTATTTGTTAGTTTATGTGTTATGTTATGCTTTATGTTAGCTATCTAGTTAAAAAAATACTGAATCGGTTATAATATCTATTTCACCTACGAGAAAGAATTAGATTATACACGGATGACATAGGCTATAATTTAAACGTAATGAAATTAAAATTAGAAAAATATAAAAGTTCGTATCTTAATTTGCTCGCAAAGCTCTTGTTAACAATACGAATGTTATTTTTTGCCTCAAGGACACGAGAGCCAGTTTTGGTTCATTCTATCGGTCGGTTATTTATTATTCACATTTTGTGATCGTCCACAACTTGCTTTGGTCGGCAATCAGCAAACAAATCTTTAAATATCCATTTTTAATCAAAATTTAAAAAGTCTGTGTGGCATGGGTTATAATAAAATTGTATACATGTTTATATTGATTGCTAGTGTCGGTACCTCTAAAGTTTTACGGAAATGTTGCCCAAAAAATCAAAGTCTTATAAAAGTGTCAAGTTTGGATGCGAATACACCGGACAAATATGAATGTATTGACTACGACCGTCATTTAAGTGAGTACAAAGAAGTTAGTCAAAACTCAGATCTTGTGGTGAACAGATCTGTAATTGTAGATGATGGTATACCTCAAGAATGCAACTTGATTGCTGGCGAATTGAATGTAGGAGACTTCAGTTTATTCACGGACAGAGGTGTTTGTTATGATAGACTTATAACAGAAATCAATAATGGTACGGTTACACACACAGCTACATCAAGTATTACAATTTTGAAATGTGATGGATTGGAACTGACGTCTCAAACTGAATTAAAAATACAAAATATCAGGAAATGTTGTGCGAGGGGGCAAGTTTATGATAGCGAATATCATTTCTGTAGAACAGATCATGAGTTCAAAGAAGAGTGGCTGATAAGTGAATTAAAACAAAATACATCTGACATTTTTGTAATTGATAATGAGCTAGATTGTTTAGACGAGGAGTATTCTGTAGAAATAAAAGAAGGTGTTTTTAGATTTACTTTAATTGGTAGTGTCCTTGGAATTATTAAAGAAAATGGAGGCGATAAACATAACTTCGAGTGGTGGACTTGGTGTATAGACCAGGATTATACGAGCCGGCGACTTGTCGCAAGGGTCTGTACCGAGAACTGCAGTGATTTTGGTGCATATTGTATGAGAAAGTGTTGTTACGTGGGAAACCACGTATCAGGATGTGGTAACAAAAGGGCTTGTGAGCGGAATTATGATGACAGATTTTTATTTAATCTGTCATCATACATAGAACCTTTAAAAAGAGAGAGCGGTGATATTGGAGGTGATTATGACATTTTTTATTTTTATGATGAAATCTAAATTTTTTAATTTTCAAATGGTGAGTTAGGATTCTCAAAATTGTAGGGCTCCTTAACTCAAAAGGAAAAACGGATTCCCTTATAGGATCAATTTGTTGTTCGTCTGTCTGCCTGTCAAGACCCTTTGTTGTGAGAATGCGTAGAAATATTGAGTCGACATTAAAAACATAATAATATGCCCTCAAGTTGTGAAAAAATGAAACTTATGCATTAATATGAAAAAAAGGTATGGTCATTAATAGTGCAAAAATGCATATTTCAATAATAATAAGCTCTCACTTTTGGGGATGAAAATTAATAAGATAGTCCTCATGACTTGACTATAAACTTTTGCAAACAGTATTGTTTTATTCTATAGGTTCAAGGAAAAAATCAAGTGATGTGTTATACGAAAAGGCTTGATGTGCATATTCCAAAACATATTTTATTCATCATTCATAATACATATATATAGGTAGCACCAAAAATTAAAATGGCATTATTTTTATACCTTAATTTATTTAATTAGTCCGTATGGATAGTTAAGAAGAAGGGTATTAACGTCTGCACATGCAGCCAGGACCAACAGCCTAACGTGCTTTCCGATGCAAGGAGTAGCTCCAGATAATATATTTTTTGGTTAACCACCTAGACCATCCATGCGAGAGTTGCTAACCTATAACGATCACATAACGAGTGCGGCGCTTGTCCACTATGCCAACGAGCTACTCGTAATTTAGTAAATTTCAATATCTGTGAAAGGTAGACAGATGGAATATAAAACTCACAGATGATGTATTTCTGTTGCCGCTTAAACAACAAATATTAAAATCCAGAAAAAAAATAATGTTTAATAAATATTAAAGGACCCATATACAACAAACGTGACTATACTTGTTTTTGCTCGATATTGATAACGATTATGCAATAGTTAGTATTAAATTTTAGACTTCTCGTTATACGTGTGTCTTTGAATGTCTATGGTTTGTCAATGATTATAAATATTTTATTTTGGACCCTACTCTGTCAGAAAATATGTTATTATATGATATTTAAAATTTCGTCTCCTTTGCTCATAAAAGCCATGCGGTTACATGGCTAAGTATTAATAAAATCTATAAATTACAAACGCTTCTAGTCGTTCATACCTACGTTTGTTTAAGAGTGTTATGATCGCAGAAGTAATTATATTAAAAAAAAAAATATCTGTTTTACAATATTTATTTATAGATGTGATGGGTATCCAGACAATCTTCAAATGTCACGATAACCGGACTAAAAGAATTATCTTAAACTCCTCATTGACAGTGGATTGGCATTCCCTTGATATGAACGGGTCGCTTCAATCATATCATGGACTGACTCGTGAATACTGCTTAGATACATTTGAGTGTAATGGAAAAATTGAAGTAGCAGCTTATACATGCATTCCTAGAACCGTTAATGATTCTAAATTAAGTTTTACGGTAAGTACTCAAGCAGGTAATGTAAAATAACTGAATTTAAAAGTTTAGTTAATTAATAACGAATAGAAATTCAAAAGTTTAATCGAGTAAGTTAGCTGGAAATTTACAAATAGTTGTTATTAAATTTCATATTTACAAACTTCATATTATATATGTATTGGTATTAATACTTATCAAATTTGCTTGAAGTTTTCCTAAGTAATGGTGTAAAAAATATCCGCTTAAAATCAAGGAATATTTCGTTTGAAAATAAGGCTGTATAGCTGAGATTATGATTAAAAAATACTAGTTATTCAAATAAAAACAAAAATCAGTATCACTATATATATTAAAGAATTAAGAATATTGCAATTCGTTAAAAATAGTATCCAAATGTCAATCTAATTAAATTCATTCCATTGGCAAAGTAATTTTGAAAACCGATTTGTAGGAAATTTCTTTAAATCTGATGATATACAATTATACACCTTAATAGGCATCTGTTGAGAATTCATTTTCAAAATAGCACTACGCACCGAAATTTTATACAAACAGGTTATATCACTAGGATTTAATCATATGTTTTTTATATTGGTAACCTTATTAAAGTATTGGAAGTGCCGCCTGACGAACAATCCTATGTATAATCTAGTCAACGTTCACACACTTAACCCGGATCGAATCGAATATGAAGAAGAAACCGATACGAATTAGTGGGTATTAACGACTGCAGGTATACTCGGAACCAACAGATTAACGTGCTTTTCGAAGCAAAGAGGAGATGATTTTCTGATCATTCTTCTTTTGAACAGCGCTTGCGAAAGTTGCTTAACGACCGTATTGTAGACCGAACGCGTTAACCTCTTTTCTATCAAGCTACTAACTGTAATGAAGGCTATTACAAAAAGGTAAACGCGACTTATACGACTCATTATCAGTCCTTTTATGTCCCCACTGCAGGGGCTCAGGCCACCTATATTTGTTAAGGAGAAGGTTGGGCTGGTATGCGGATTGGAGAGTATTAACGACTGCAAATGGAGCTGGGTGCAATGTGGGGACCTGGGAGTACGTGTGAATTAGACAAATGTTGCGTTTTGACTGACTTTATTATACTAAACACATTATTTATAATGAGGTTGGAGATGTACACACTACATGGGACCAACGGCTTAACGTGACTTCCGAAGCAAGGAGTGGCTCGAGATAATAATTTTTTGGTTAGCTATCCTGTAACCGACCCTTACGAAAGTTGCTTAACAATAACGATCGTGATCCGCGGCGCTTATCCACTGTGATACCGAGCTATTACTTATACTGCCGTCTGGAGTCTAAACTGCACTAATAGCAAAAACAAGAAACCGAGAAAAACACGCCTGACATTTAAATGTTATGTGTCTGTAATAAATCACTATTTAAAATTTAATATAAAGTGTAAAAAGAGATAGAATACTAAAATAATTCCCAAATTTCAGGTTTGAAACATAATAAATAAATAAATTATAGCCATTATAATTTTTTAAGCCCTCTTACTGCATATTCCACAGTTTTGGTATAATGTATATTAATTAACTAAAATGAATAAGTAGGTTTAAATTCTTACTGCATATTTGGTGGTAATCTTTAGATATATTTTCAGATAAGTTTACAAAATTTGGCGGCTTGATTTTAAAAGAAACGAAAGAACGTTATGTTATGGTCGTAGAAAAAAAAATTAGGTGTCAGGGTTTGAGCTTTCAGACGATATGAAAAACTCAAAAACACAAATTTTGCTGTTGCTGCGTTTTAAGTTCGCGAGCGCAGTAAACGACTAACAGGTCTTTAATTTATATTCGAATAGTTATTGTTATTTAACTTTGTCTTTCAGCTATTATCAACATCGGTGATGCTTTTAATAATAACATTAGTAGTGCACTGCTCTATACCAGAGTTTCGGAACCTACATGGCTTCAATTTGATCAGCTATATTAGCTCTTTGCTGCTGGGTTATTTGGGTCTTGCTCGAGGGCATTACGGATTCATACCAGACATTAATGTTTGCACGGGGATGGGTAAGAAATAACTATTGATATCTATTGAAAGGAAGTTTGGACTTAACGTCTCTCTCTAATCAATTATAGAAGTATACTTTAGTATAAATACAATTACTTGAATACAAATATAATAAAATTAGATCAAATTATTGTCAATTTTCTAAGACTGGGATTGAAATAGCGGCCGGGGGCTGCAGTCTCGACATTAATAGCGATACGATCGCAAAGTATGGAATGTCAAATATTAACGAAAATAATTGTTTGCGGTAACGATCGTTACTTCAAATGCAAGTCTCTATTACCGAGTTACCGAGCAAAATCGTAAACTATGCAGACGATAACATATCGAAAATCTGTATTCATAGTGCAGTTCAAGTACAATTTCCTAAAGGAGAAAATGTTGCCTCAGACAAAAGTATTTTAAATCTAAGAAAATCAGAACAACGTACTTTGTTTTTAAGTAATGATTTCATGTTCAATTTAGCAAATAAAAATAATAAAAAAATGCGTACTAGAAAATTATTGCTTTTTATAAGTATAATTTAGTATTAAATGTGTTAAATCAATTCGATTATTATTGGAAATTAAAATTTGTTTCCTTGCGACATTTTGCTCATGTCAAAAAGATCATCTCAGAACATTGTTGTTTATGACGGTTACGCTGTTTCGTGAAATACTTCACATAATTTGTTTTGTGAGTCATGGTGGGAGATTCAGATACGAAGTCGCACGTGCAGCAGGCTCCGCGTGCTCCAAATATTAAACCTGTTTGAAGTTCTTTTTGAATATAAAATATTGGTAAGTATGCACCTTTTTGAATTCACTGTGCTTGATTAATATTATGATATGATTTTAACTTCTCATCTAATAATGCTATTTATTATTTTAGTATGCATTGGCAATACGGCTCCAAATACTCAACATGAGGTGCAGTCAAGAAGGAAGAGAAGTTAGTACAATCTTCATATTTATTGTTTATACTGTGGTGAATATAATAAATATTTATAATGATAAATATTTTTAAACTGTTTTAGATCTCAATTCTCGCCGAAGTGTTGCAGAGCAACACGATTCGGCCAAACTCAATTTCTCGCCATTGGAGAGTCAAATGCGAAATCAATTAAGGTAACATACCTTTATTACACAATCTTTATTAAATGTGATTTTGTTATGTATTTGTAATGAATTAATTAATAATAGATAAACAAAAAATACCCAAAAACATTATGATTATATCAAATTCAACAAGATTGAAACTGAGATTAATACCTATATATGGGTAAAGGGAGTCCCGCATTTATTTAGTTTTTTTGTTATAGATGCTGGCAGCTGCATCAAAATTGCAGACAGAGGCTGCAATGAAGCAGGCTGATGCTTCATTGATTCATGCACAGGCAATGAGTAAAATAGGGGATGCATTTTGCTTCTGGCCCATAATAAATAAAAGTGAATTTACAACTTATATGGTCGTTTTTTAATTTGTAAATTTACCTACATAAAATTTATTGAAATAAAAAATAACCTTAGGTATAAAAACGTTCGATCAATCTTCTGCTAATTTTATAAAGCAAAAGAAATTCCGTCTCATCTAAAATCAAAGAATTTTGGAGGCATCGCCTGTTTCTGGCTATTTGCTGTCGCCTCACCATTAGGTGTCGATGTTCAAGCACCGTTAAATCTGATGCTAAATATACTTCAGCCATCACGTTTTAAATATCTTTATGACTAAAGTTCCAATATAAATACCTCGAAATACCGTAAAATATCGAAAAAAAAATTATTAGCGATCGCAAAAGTCACTTATCGAGCTGTCAAATTTGGTCGCAAAGGAGCTAACGAAATTCGTTTGAACTCGCTACGCCACCGACAAAAATAGATAACTTTAAATGTAGAGACTTGCAATATTCGTTAAATTACGATCGCTATGAGTTAGCAACCGAATTCGGTGACATTGCGTTCGCAAACTGTGTCGAGACTACCGCCCCAGGAGCATTAGCAATTTTCAAAGATTATAATCTAATTTTAATTTTATACGTGATTTTTTTCGTGATATTGTACAGGATATTGCATTTATTTTGGGTTCATATCTGCCTTCATGTGGGTCAATGTTTTGTGCTTCGACATATGGTGGAAGATGAGGTGAGTTTGCCTATTTTTTGCTAAGCTATTCAAATCTATCGTAGTAGATATAAGTACAAAAAGAAACAAAAACGGTACAAAGATTTACGGTAACAAGAAATATATTGAATGAAGTTATTTTGTTTAATTTTGTTTGTGAACCTGTAACTGTCAATAATTTCATAATTGTAATTGCAGTCATATTCAGTCAGTGCAGCGCAGTATGAACAGAAGCTCATGGATTAAGTTTATTAAGTACTCTTTGTATGCGTGGGGAATCTCTGTCGGTCTCACGTTGACCACATTTCTACTGGATATTTATCCATTATCGCCGATTCTCGATGCGGAAATGGGCAAAGGACGCTGCTGGTTTGGTGCAAGTAATAAACTAATATAAGATTTATTATTTTTATTTAAAATTTCATGAGCATTTCTTATTCTAATGTGGTTATTGTTGAGTAAGGTGGCATCAAAAATTGTAATAAATCATTGAACAATTTTCACATTAATTTCTGGCACGACAGAAGGCAGCCGATTAAAAAAAAATATATGATTTCACTTCTACATCTACAAGTTCCCAAACATTTTCAGTTCGGAATTAATGAAGAAATTTTCACCGCATATTTTTCTTAGCAACTTTTATTATAATATCCTGCAGTGTGAACCTCCGTAAAGGGTCTTATAAACGGCCAAAACTTTTGGCCAATTAGTTGCTGCCACACAGTGGCCAGCAAGGCTGTGCAGTGTGCAATAGTGCAGTTATATCCCGGCCATATAGCCAAACGTTTGTGGTATGGCCGATATTGTTTTAAAAATAGGGAGAAAAAAGCAGCCCTTGCCGAGTTTCTTGCTGGTTATTCTAGATACAATATCGCCTGCCGTAGATTTACGAACCGAGAGAGTAGAGTTTCGCCTTTAACAGCCTAGTCTGAATTAATGATTATACAAAGTTACCGGACGACCAAAAACATTTGTACTATGGCCGGGCAATAAGTTAATAGCTCAGCCATTAATTGGCGAAATATTTTGCCTTGAGAAACAATTAAAATATTGCAGGCTTCCATTTTTTACTTGAAGATTGTGATATTTGATTAATTTTGCATTTACAATGCTACACTGAAAAATATCCTCAATAAAAAAAATGTTTAAAAAAATATCTTGGGTTCGAATCCCATCTCAGAGTACTTCGGATAAAGTGGATTTTTTAAACATTTTTCGTTTAAGATATTGAAGTGCAAATATTGTTTTTAGGAATAAATAGCGAGGCTGATTGGCCCCATTACATTTTATTCGTTATTCCGATGGGTTTGGTAACTGGTGTGAACTTGGTGCTGTGGTTGTTGACAGCAGTGCACTGTGTGCGAGTCAAATCAGTAGCACAGCGGCTGCATGCTGGTTCAGAAAAAGATAGCATCGTACGTCGTTATAAGAACTATAAGGAAAAGTAAGAAGATACACACCAAATTACAATCTGGAACAATAATATACAAACTTATATAATTTACCTCTTTTACCTTCACGCCATTGCATTAACTTATGTCTGTGTTATGAGCTTTCCTATTCAATGAACTCTTACCATGGCAAATTAATAAACAAATTCGTGTCGCCCTCATCGAATTAGGGATTGGTACCACCACACTTTGGTTTTAATATTTCAAAACGCTTTGGCTTTATTTTTCTCATCCGTAAACCAAAAGTTTTTGTGACCTCTCTTTGCGTACCGCTTAAGTAGTTTTGAAGTTACCTATTCTTTTTTAAATTATTTCATAAGTGACCAGAGCCTCTCTTATAGGTTGCAAGACCTAAGTCATATTAAAAATACACGACATCGTTCTTGGTGCTTCTATATCTCACGAGAAAACCGAAAGAAAAGTTCTTCTTTGAAGTTTTGCCCTTATTGCTTTGATTTTTTGTGCGAATCCTAAGTGGACGGCCAATCTCTTTCTGTCATAAACAAAGAAGGTTTCATTGTGCCTATCAGTAGCCCTATTCATAAACATTTGATTTGAATCCATGCCTGTTTGTGTTTTGTTCCATACCTTACTTATACGGTTCTCTTTACCACCCTACTCCATTTTAATATTACAAAGTGATCTAGTTATAAGTCCAGAATTTAGAAAATTCCATAAAAAATCATCCCCTAATTTACCCCTGTAGGGGTCGAATTTCGTAAAATCCCGTTTTAGTGAGCACATACATCCTAGAAAGTACCCGTATGCAAAATTTTAAACTCCTAGCACTTGTAGTTACGAAATTTCATTCGAACTTTCGTTTCTTAAGTAACCCCCATAGAGATTTAATTTCATAAAATTCCGTATTAGCGACCGCCTACGATCTCACGAGACTCCGCATGCAAAATTGGAAACTTCTAGCACTTGTAGTTTCTGAGATTCCGTGATGAGTGAGTGAGTGACCTTTCGCTTTTATATGTATATATTGGCGTCAAAATAAGAAAAGACAATGAACAATATAAAAATCACACATTCAAAAATTCAAAAGTATTATTTGGTTTATTTTTAATACTAAGAGTATTAACGGCCAGACCAAAAAAAATATATTGGTAATATTACACTAATATGTAGATTAATGACTATTTTTTTCGTTAAATTTTTGTAATTTAAAATAAACGAAGTTATTGTATTGTTAGGCCTGAATTTTTATTTATGATTACAGTTTGCTGTTGACTGGAAAGCTCTGGGTTGTAATGGGTGGTGGCTGGTTCATAGAGTTCATTTCCGTCCTTGTGACGCAACCCGATGGCAGTACACCATTTATAATGACAATAATGGACATATTGAACCACCTCCAGGGATTATGGATATTTATCATTCTGGTTTTTAAACCAAAAAGGATTTACAATTACATCAGACGAAAACTTGGTATGTACACATTATTTTGAATTACCTGATTTAAATGTAATCATCCTAAATATATATTTAATCTATCCATTGGACAATAGAAAACGTGCTCCCACAGGATGCAATCACATAGGAAAAACCAAAATCGTATTTATTACATATAGCCTTTCAAACTCATCATATATTCATCATCATCATCATCATATTTGTCTTACTGACTAGCCTTTTGATTTTGTCTTCTAATTGTCTTTACAAATCTGAAATATAAAAGATGGTTAACTATTTCACACTAAATTCTTAATTTAACGTGAACCAATGTTGCAGGGCTAAAAATATCAAATGAAACAAGTAATGGTACGACGTTGTCATCGCAGGCACGCTCTACAAACATTTCTATGACGAGTGTACAAACATCAATATCAAATTCTACGGTTCCAGCAACTTCGCCGAATACAGAAAAGAAACAATAATGAGAATCAATATTCTCAGATTTTTAGGCAATGAGTGAATATGTTGTTTTGATGTTTTAGGAATATGGAATTACTGCGTACAAAACCAGAAAGAGCTCCGTGACGTTGCACCTTAAAATAGAATCTTAACATTTTCATTATGTTTACCTGTCGGTAGTAGTTCCTTACCCAAACGATGAAAATGGGACTCTGTTACTTAGATCCGATGGGCGTTTGTCTGTCTTCTTGATAAGCCATTATAGTTACACATTTGAAATTTTCACATATAATGTTAATATTGTATACGATGTAGGGCAGGCGACCGGGTCTCGGTCATTATAAAATTAAGACCCGATTTTGGCCATTTTAAGTATAACCTGATCGTAGCTGTTAACGCAGTTTCGCTTTAATAGAAAATTTTAAAAGCCGTTCACTGTACAGTAAGATATTTGCCTTTGCATTAACGAACAAAATATTAGAACGCTTTGAAGTTCCGAATGGCTAAAAAGGGGACAGTGTCCGGCGGGTCTTCTGTCTTACAATTACTAAAATAGAATGAGATAAATGTTGAAGAAAGAAAATACTTTAGTTACTTTTTTTGTTTCTAGGGAACTCTAAGAAATCTTCGGAAATTCTGATCCGATAATAAAATTCTTTCACCTACATGAAGCTTAATTTTCAAAGTCGCGGAAAAATAACTAATAAATAATATATATATTATATAATATTATAACTATTAATATATATATTATAACAAAGTTTGTATCAATTCTATAAGAAAAGCGACATTAAGGTTTTAGTAAACTCAAGGACTCAATCTCTTACTTTTATTGCAGCTTAACGCTCTAGATGTGTAGTAATCTTGTATTCTGGTAGCAGATATTTTAGTATCAATTATCTAAACATATATAAAATACTGATTAACGACAACGTACAGCATAAACTGCTTGTCGTTAAGGCTTTAAATTTGGAGGGTGCGTTCGTCTTATTACGTAGAGATATACTAATAATGAATTTTTGTAAATTCCACCGCTAAGGGGTTTAAAAAATGAGAACTTTTGTATGAAACTTCTATGTTTTTGGACCTAAAACGATGTAAATTGACATTTGGGTAGTTTAAGACTCTTGGAAGTTGATAGGTTTTATCTTAAAAACCTAGAACTTGATGGAATGAAAATGGGAGTGAAAGTTTTTTAGGGGAATCAAAATATTACCATAGCAATCGTCGTTTACAATTTGATTTGACATTGTAATAAATCTATCTAATACTATTTACAAAGACATCTTTATATTGTAATAAAAATAAGTATTTTTGAGTACATAAATATAGTTTGTACTAGATGGATATACATCGCAGTGTTAACGTTTAGGTTTCAAATATTATTCAGTAAGAACTTTACGCTTTACTATACTGATGAGTGGTTCGGCAGCGTAGTGGATAAGCGCCGTGGTCTACGATCGTTGTTGTTAAGCAACTTTCGCAAGTGTCGATCAAGGGATAGGTGACCAAAAAATTACTCCGTGATCTCGAACTAATCCGTGATTCGGAAAGCATGTTATGCCATTGGTTGTGATTAAATGAAGAGTCGTTAACGCTCTCCCATTCACAAAATCAATAAATAGGAGACATAGGTTGCTTTTTATTGTGATAAAAGGTTTGACATAAGGAATTAAAAAAAAAAGCAAATTATTTCACACTATACAGATATCTACGTCGAAATGATTAAATTAGTATCTATATACTGTAATAAGTACTAAATTAGAATTTAATTTTACTTAGGTAATTAATACTCAAAAATTTTGATGTATCCATAAGTATATATATATAATAAGTTACATAGATTATTTTTTTGTTATTTGTGTTACCAATAAATCATGTGTACAGTTTATTAGCTGTTTATACTTTAATAGTGCCAACTAATTTTCAACCGGCAGCTTCTTCCGCATGGTGCTGTATTATATTAAGGCTTGGGGGCAATTGCAATCATTTACAACGATCGATTATCAAAAGCATTTCTATAATGGTTACGTTTCGATTGTTGCTGTAAGTTTGCGTTTTGGTAACGTTAATTATCAAAAAAACATTTACATCACTCTATATACTGATGTAAATTGCATTAAAATCCGTTGTATATAATAGATCTCAGCGTACAGACAGTGGAAAGTTATTTTATTTTATAATTTAAATAGATACACGATTTCTCTCTCGCTTTAGCAATGAGCTGTAGTGCTGTCCCTAGAACATTCATTTCTTTCGTAAAAGATAAAGAGCGTGAGCGGGTATATTAATAGAGAGCTCAGCTTTATAGTATAAGAGGTTGTTACAAAAATGTGCAAGAGATTTCTTAGAGTTATTTTAGTTAAAGAAGAAGAAGAAGAAACATTTATTGACTTCACAAAGACACAAACAAGATAATACGTTATTAGGAACACATAAAACACAATAAAGATACAAAATATACAATAAGGTACATAATGAATAAAAGAGAAAGAAAGTGAGGTCAACCAGGACTCTGCCTCAGCTGGTGTTGATGCGACACGGAAAGCGCCACATCAACGCTGATATTCTGGCAGAGCCTGTTCGGTACGCGGAACAATATTTTACTAGAGAAATGAAAATAGATATAATGAAATATATAAAATAATAATAATAATAACATGATGAATTAGAGAAAGCAAACTTATGTTTAATACTAATACACCTCAGCAATAAAAATCAGAGATGGCTGTATGGGGTAAGACTCCTTGGCTTTTACCATATACAAGAAAGAAAAAGTATATATATCTATGGTTTAGGCGTCAGCGTCAGTCACCCATCAAAACAAGATAGGTAGCTTCTTAATTAAATAATTAACTTCTTTAGTTAAAGCCAGTGCATTAACCAAAAAAAAAAGTACAGATTATAAACAATAAATACAGTGCATCACTTGTGGTCGACGATGTCAGACATGTCATTATAATGTACAAGGAACTGCCCAGTGTTATTGGTTGACAAAAATTGACCAGTTATTAATGTGATGTTATGAATACGTGCAAACAATACAATAGACATACGGCAACTTATTAGTCACCATTACACACCTGTATCACACACAATGAAAACAATAAACAGAAAAAGGTGCATTTCATTTAATCAGTGTTGTTAGTTTTCGTCACTCAGAAATAATGAAAGCTATTTACTAGAAAAACTGTATACCAAAAGCTGCGGAACAAATACAAAAAGAAATACATAGAATCATGTGCAAGTGCCCATTCAAGCGTCGGTTCATCGTCATCCACCAATCACATATATGGGGTTTAAACCCAAGGTAGGCACAATATGATTTTTTACAACTGCGACTTTTGGAGACTTAATAAGTGTAATTTAAAGCCAGTCGTTAATGCTTTCTTTGTCCGTAGATCCCTCAACGGTGGAGGAAGATCATTCCAACACTTTGAGGCCGCAAATCTGAAGGAACCCCGAAAAGCCACAGTATTATATTTTGGAGTTCGAAAGATATAGCTGCAGGATCTTTTCAAGTACCTACTATGATCTTGAGCCCGATCCAGCTTAACTGAAAGGTATTTTGGCTTTCCCATATTAACTATGCTGAACAACATAGCGGCCAAATGGACTCTCCTGCGTGATTCCATTTTTAGTATGTTTGAAGAGTTCAAAAATGGTGTGACATGTGTTCTCGGCGGGATATGAAAACAAGCGAGCACATGCATTTTGCACTCTCTGAATGACTCTAGCTGTCTTTTTCATTAAGCATGGACCATAAACAGTGTCGCAGTAATTAAACTTAGATAGTACCAATGACTCGCATAATATAATTCTTAGCTGCTCGGACAAGTATTGTCTTATGTTGTACAACAATTTCAACCTGTAATAACTACTGCGTGCACACTCCATGATATGAGACTCAAATTTTAGATGGCTGTCAAGTGTGAGTCCCAAGCTCTTGGCATTGTCAACCCGTTCCAGAGTTACTCCCCCTATGTGGATATTCAAGGATGTATTGTTGATCTTTCCAATATTATTTTTGCTACCAAAAAGCAAGAGTTTGGATTTACGTGGATTTAATACAATACAATTTGATTGGGACCAGGCTGAAATTCTTACTAAATCCTCATTCACTTTTCTTTCAGCGGTAGCAGTGTCAGATGGCTTGAAAGAGTAAAAAATCTGTATGTCATCTGCATATAGATGATAATTACACTCTTGTATGCTACCTATCACATCCGCACTGTACAAAATGAAGAGAATTGGACCAAGTATAGAGCCCTGCGGAACGCCTCTGGTAACCGGAAGAGAACTGGATCGCAATTTCGTACCATTTGCCGCTGATAGCTCCACATATTGTTCTCTATCGGTTAAATAACTGTGGAACCATCTTACTGCGTTTGGATCCAAGCCGTAGAATGCCAGTTTTGAAAGAAGCAAAGTTGTATTTATGCAATCGAAGGCACGGGAATAGTCCAGTAGCAACATCACACTAACCCTACCAAGATCCTGGGCAGCCAGAAGATTATCTAATACGTCTGAAAGAGCGGTGGCTGTACCATGACCCTTACGGAATCCCGATTGCAACTGTGGGAGAATGTTATGAACTTCAATATATTTGGTGAGTTGATCACAGACTATTCTCTCCAAAATCTTGGACATACATGGAAGTAGGCTAATAGGCCTGAGATCCTGCACTGACACAGGATGTGACTTTTTGGGTAATGGTCTAACCACCGCCCGTTTCCAGCTCCTGGGAAAGATGCAAGAAGTGAGTGATCGGTTCACTATGCTGGTAATTGCTTTAAGTGATTGTGGCAAAGTCATTAGCAACATTTCCAAAGATACACGGTCATCTCCTTCCGCATTAGACTTCAGCCTCTTAATTGCTTTAAGCACGTCATCCTCCCCAACAGGTTTCAGACTGAAGGTGGCTGTGCTATGTCTGTGATGTTCATAGTGAGTCAGACACGAAAGGGACACATAATTTGTACCAGGAACATCAAGAAAGCACCTGTTGATAGCATCAGGATCATCAAAACTCGATGGCAGATCTGCTGCGGCTCCCTTGCAAGGCAATATGCTCCGCTTCAAGTTGTACCAAAGCTTCCTGGAATTACCCAAGTTATTATTTATTTTTTGTTCAAAGTAACTTCTTTTTTCAAATTCAATGGCCTTATTTATTAAATTTTTCATGGTGAGGTAACTGTCTTTAAACACCTGCGTTTTGTGTTTTTTATACCGTTCATTGTACTTGTTTCTCAA